CAACAGCTGCATGTGGAGGAGTAGGGCCAGTTTGGTGTGGTGGTTAGGAGCGCGGACTCTGGGAGAACCAGGTTTGATTCCCCAATCCTTCACTTGCACCTGCTGGATGACCTTGGGCAAGCCATAGTTCTGATAAGAGCTGTTCTTGAAAAGGAGCAGTTTCTGTCAAATTTGGTGTAGTGGTTAAGTGTGCGGACTCTAATCTGGGAGAACCGGGTTTGATTCCCCACTCCTCCACTTGCACCTGGCTGGATGACCTTGGGCAAGCCGTAGTTCTGATAAGAGCTGTTCTTGAGAAAGAGCAGTTTCTGTCAGAGCTCTCTCAGCCCCACCTGCCTCACAGGGTGTCAGTTGTGGGGAGGGGAAGGGAAAGGAGTTTGTAAGCCGCTCTGAGACACCTTTGGGTAGTGAAGGGCGGGGTATAAATCCAACCCTCTTCTACTAGTCAGGAATATTATAGCTGTAGTATAAATCCTCTTCTTCTTCTAGGGAACCAAATCCGGTTTCCCAGCTTACAGTCTGCACTCCTACCCACTACACCAAACTGGAATTCCTTAGGTATTGTCTTCCACCTATAAAAGTGCAGAAAATTCGCTCCTAAATGTAACTTGTATTCAGCATTTAGCTATCAACCCCCTTCAGGCCAGACATATTTCCTATTCAAGCTTGATATTAAAAATTCGCTCTATCCAAAAAAAAAAAATCCTTTCTCCATTCGAGTGACCAACCACTCTCAACTTCTGGCTTTTTCATAAATCCTGAGGCTCTCCCGTTCCAACATAAACTAAAATTCTTTTCATTACCGGATTCTAAATTGATAGGGTTTACGGCCCTTGAAATAGGGGCTCGTTTTTTAATAAAGGGGAAAGTTTGTATTGGAGCCGTAGCGGATTAAAACGCCGTTAAAAACTGCAGCTGGAACACAGCAGACGAGGGAGACATAAAGCTTGTGTGCCTAACAGGGACACGGGGGCATTTTTATTTTATTTTTTAAATGTGGAAAAATTATTCTTTACGCCATCGTTAGGGCTCTGCCGTAAATTACGGGTGAGGTGCACCCTTCCGTGAGCTTCCAACACAAACATGAGGTGCAAAGTTGGGCCCCGTTCCTACAAAGGACTGCGTTATGCGGGGCAGAAAGAGTGGGCCGGCGGTAGCCGGGCGCCGAAGCCCCTGAGCTTTCTCCGCTGGCACCATAGAGAATGAGTCATTGATATTGAATTGTGGGAAGGAGGAGGTCTCCAAAGTAGCGAGAGCTCGGTTAACGCTGCGGGGTGAGCAGCAGCCCGATTCCCCGCCCGCTGTATGGAACCAATTATCATCTCTGTATAATTACAACATTGGCTAAGCAACTGCTCTCCGGGGGCCACCGTACTTAGCCAGAAGGTTGACTGAGGGTTTGCTCCAGCGTAGATGCACACACAGATACACAATTGTAATATTCTGCATCGGACAAAAGAGTACTTTTTCCTAAGACCGGGGATGTTTTTGAATTTCCCGGCCCCCACCCCCCTTTCGCCAAGCAAACCCGTAATTTCTCTGTTTTCTTTCCTCGTACCGAAATTTCACCGATAAAAAGAATGCATTCTTCACCATTGCTACTGTGTCAGTAAACTAGTGTTACACCACATTATATGCATACGTGACAAACACTGAACACAATGAAGGCTGGGTACAGAAACCACACAACGATTTTTCATTGATGTAGGTTTTTAAGTATTGATTGGATACCTACTGGTCGGGGATATTATAGCTGTAGTTCCTGCATTGGCAGGGGGTTGGATTAGAGAGCCAGTTTGGTGTAGTGGTTAAGTGCGCGGACGCTAATCTGGGAGAACCGGGTTTGATTCCCCACTCCTCCCCTTGCACCTGGCTGGATGACCTTGGGCAAGCCGTAGTTCTGATAAGAGCCGTTCTTGAAAAAGAGCAGTTTCTGTCAAGAGCTCTCTCAGCCCCACCTACCTCACAGGGTGTCTGTTGTGGGGAGGGGAAGGGAAAGGCGTTTGTAAGCCACTCTGAGACACCTTTGGGTAGTGAAGGGCAGGGTATAAATCCAACCCTCTTCTACTGGTCGGGGATATTATAGCTGTAGTTCCTACATTGGCAGGGGGTTGGACTAGATCCCAATGTTCCCTTCCTGCTTTG